TCCTCCAGCCTCTCCCATCCCTCAGCAGGTCCCATCCCTCAGCATGTCCCAGCCCTCAGCAGGTCCCATCCCTCAGCAAGTCCCATCCCTCAGCAGGTCCCATCCCTCAGCAGGTCCCAGCCCCAGCCCGTGCTCAGCAGCAGAGGATCTTGAGGAAGGCTCTGCGGAAGTCGGTGTTGAAGGTGGTGTAGATGATGGGGTTGAGGGCACTGTTCATGTAGCCAAGCCAGGTGCTGGCACTGTAGAGCCCTGGGGGCACGTGGCAGGACAGACAGTGGGCGTTGAGGATGTGGATCAAGAAGAAGGGCAGCCAGCAGACTATGAAAGCTCCTGGGTTTAGAGAGAGGGAGAAAACAATCCATGACTTCAAAGAATCAACTGCTTGGAGAGGGGTCTGCATCTGTGCCCTCTCCTGCCATCCTCTGGCTATTCCCATGTGTGTGTCTGCTTTTGGGAGACACAGAAGGTGATGTTTCTTCCTGACACAGGACTTGGCAAGGGCTTAGGCTCCTTGTGAGCAGCTAAGTGGTTGGATGGGACTTCAGAAGTGGCCACAGCTTAGAGGCAAGGACTGCTGCCTTAATTAGTTATGATGAGGGCTGCATTATTTCCCTGCTACTGCTGAGCTCATGAGGGGAAGCAATGTATCTGGTGACCATGGCAGGTGACTGGGGCACCAGTCTCCTGCCTTCTCTATCCATCTCTATGGTCTGGTTCCTCTGCTGCTCCTTCCTTCAACTTCTTTTTCTGTAATTTCTCTTCTGGACCTAAGAGAGGTCCAGAACTGGTCCAGCTTTATAGTAATAAAATAAAGGAAAGGTGAAGGTGTTGGCTGTTGCTCCCTCTGGCAGGGCTTGTTGGCCATTGATTTAAAACAAAAGGGTAACACAGCATAGCAAATAAAACACTAAAATACTTGGCTCTCAACATTTGAGAGCATTACCCCAGATCCCTGGATGTCCCACCATTGTTTCTGCTGTTTGTGAACAGTGACAGCTGAAGTCTGAGCCTTGTTTTCTTGTTTTCAATCCTGACACTGTGTTGGGAGATTCCTTGTTTTTGCAAGTCCCAGACTGTGGAATCCTGACTTACAGAGACAGGAAGGCAAAGCTGGCAGTGGGCAGATTCAGGCTGGATGTGAGGAAGAAGTTCTTCCCCAGGAGAGTGGGGAGACCCTGGAATGGGTTGCCCAGGGAGGTGGTTGAGGCCCCATCCCTGGGGGTCTTTAAGGCCAGGCTGGAGGAGGCTCTGGGCAGCCTGATCTAGTGGGAGGTGTCCCTGCTCATGGCAGAGGGGTTGGAACTGGGGGATCCTTGTGGTCCCCTCCAACCCTGACAGATTCTGGTCTGTTTTAGCAGAGGACTTTAGAGCCCTCATGGCTCAATGGTTGGACTTGATGATCTTGGAGGTCCCTTCCAACCTAAAGGATTCTATGATTCTATGTGTTGACACACAAGAACAAGGTCCAATGGGGACACCAAGGTGGGTAGAGAATTCACAGAAGTCTCTCTCAAACAGCAAATGTTTATAGTTGGTGGATTCTGTTGGCTGCTCACCTGGAGAAGTAGGTAAACATGGGCAAACTTTCTCACAACAGCTCTGAGCTGTGCCAGGGCTGACAGAGCATGGACAATAATTACTGTCCAATCAGTAGCTCAGCTTGGGTGTGTGAACACCCAAGCTCAGGGGCTGTCTCTTGTCTGCTAGAAAAGCTGTAACACTTTGCAATAAAGGGATTTGACTGCAGCCCCCTTGGAGTGTGCATCTCTTCTCTCCAGAGCTCCTTCCCAACACCAAACCATCATCCCTACGGTGGCTCCCACTTACCCAGGACAATAGCCAGCATCTGGGTGGCCTTCCTCTCCCTCAGCTGGACCAGCCGGGGCTGCTGGTGGGCAACCTTCAAAGAGCTGATGGTCTTCCCATCGCTGAGCCTCTGCACCTCCAGTGCTGGCCTGGTGCTCCTCCTCCTCTCTTCCAGCCTGCTGTGTGCTTTGGGGAGGGGTGGCTGGTGGCAGAAGCTGCAGTACTGCTGCAGGCTGAAGGCAGCCAGCAGCTTCCTTTTGGTAGACATCTCCTGGCCTGAGCATCTGAGTGGGAGGCAAGGGGAAAAGGTGCCTTGGCATCTGTTTGGCAAAGCTCTTCTCTCCGTGTGTTCCTGCAAAAGAGGATGCCACAGAAGAACTGGGAACCATCCAAACCATCCATTGGGTCAAAGGATGATGAGGAAAGTTGTAGGTAAGAGTCATCTTTAGCCCCTCTTGCTTCTTAGGCTTGCACTGTATCACCAAATCCTCTGGACTGACCTTGGCTTATCAGAGGGATGAACCAGCACCAGACAACTCTCTGCCTCCACCCCACTGAGGAGAAGCATGAGAACAAGAGCTGAAACTCTTGTTCTGCTAAACTTTCACTTGTATTTTTGGATGGGCCCTGCTCCCTTCCCCACCCTTATGAAATGTAGCTTCACTGGGAGCAAATGGGCAAACCAAGCAGCTATGTGTAACCAGGCAGCATCTTTCAAACCATCGTGCTGGTTCCCATGGTTGCAGATATTCCATCTAGAAAGGTCAGTGGAAGGAATGCTGCATGCACCACGAGCATTTTGACCTCTGAGTCTGGCAGACAAAGAGTTTGTTTGGTTTATTTTTTTTTTGAGTAATGTAGGTTAAAGCCTGTGAAGCCCTGCAAGAGAAGCTTCATAGCACAAAAAATCAATAAATGAAGAAATTATAGACTTCTGCATGGATGAGATGAAATATGGAGGTAGGCTGTGCTCTGTTCTGGATGGCACAGGGAGGATCCTCTTTCTAGAGGGATGAAAAGGACACATCTGGAGGCTCTGTGACTCCAACATGCTGTATGAGGGAGGGGTGGGATGAAAACGTGCCACGTCCCTTCGTTATGCTTTCCATTCTGTGCTTGGAGAGGAGGAGAAGGGATGATGCATGGCCTGGCCTTTGTGACAGGACCTGCTGTGTTCCCGTGGCTCTTACTTTGGGTGTGGGGCTGGGGCTGGGGCTGGTGCTGTGGCTGCCCTGCCGGGTGAGGGTTCGCTTCCTTTGCCTCTGTCTTAGCACCAGGTAAATCCGCACGTAGAGCAGCAGGGTCACCATGAAGGGGAGGTAGAAGGACACCAAAGAGGAGTAGATGATGAAACTAGGGTTGGATATGGAGCAGACACTGGGATCCACTGGGGAGGAGAAGAGAGAGAGAGAGAGAGGAGTGGCTGAGCTGCTTTGGTTTAGTACATGGAGGCTCTGGTGCGTTGGCAAAGCAAGTCAAAAGGTGGCTGGGGAGCAAAGGCAGCTGAAGGAGGCCAAGTATCTCCAGTTTCTGTTGTAAATTATACTGGGACCTACCCCCCATCTAACTGCTGCTTAAAGTGGACTCTACCTAGGGCCATCTAGCACAGCCCAGCATGCATCAGCCTATTTTCTGCCCAACAGCTCTGCCCTCTTCTCCCGTGCCTGTTCCCACCCTTTCTCACAGGATCTTCTCTCCTGTTCCCCTGACAGCCTCTGAGCTGTCTAGATGCCAAGATGTGCCTTCACCCCCAGCTGTCTGGACCAGGCAGGGGTGGGCAGCACCCCCTGTGCTAGTCTCCCCTCAAGCATTGCAGAGAGGATGGGTTGGGAGCAGAGGACTTGTGCCTGTGGCCTGTGCCTGTGGCCCTTCAGGGAGAATGGGCTGCCCTGGGTGAGAGGAAGGAGACAAACCAACCTGCTTCCAAGCAGGAGGCTAAATTATTGGCTTTTCTCAGGGGATTAGGTGAGGAAGCAGGCAGCCAGCTGAATGGGAATGAGGCTCCTCACCAGCAGTGCCAATGTGCAATCCTTGCTGTTGGGAATCCTGTGTCAGATCTGAAGCTGTGTGTCTGGACGTGCTGATGTCACCAGGATGCAGGGAGTCTGATGTGTGTGTTAGACACACTGCAGTGTCTGGAGACTTGCTCTGTGCACCCAGAGTGGTTGTTTTGGGGGGGATCTGTGGACCTGGACACTTTGATGGACATTGATTTGGCAGTAAGGTCTGTTCTCAGAGCAATAGTCAGTGTCTGCCTGAGCAAATGGCAGGTTTATAAGCACATCTGTTCTCCAGCACTGGGGATTTTTCACATCCTTTGTAGCGTGCTCACCAGTTCCCTAAAATTTCCTGTAACTCAGAAAGTCTGCAGGAGCCTCAGAGGTTCAAAGACCTCACCATACCCAGGGCAGCTCCATCTCCAACCCCTCCCTGCATGCTGTTGAGGTATCACCTACCTGTAGTGTTGAAGCCAAAGAGGAGAGGGCACGACACTGCGAACGCCAGCATCCAGACTGTCACAATCATGAGAGACACCCTCCTGCAGGAGCTCTGCCCAGTGCTGTACTGGTACTGAACTGGTCTCACCACTGCAGTGTATCTGCAGAGCAAACCAGCTCCAGAAGGAGGAGAGGTAAGAATGGAGGGAGGAAAAGGACCAGGTTTGAAAAGGAGACATGAAAGCCGTGTAGTGATGGTGAATGTGGTGAAGAAATGGAAGAGGAAAGAAGATCAGATGATGGGATCAGCAATTTGTGGAAATGGAAAGTGGGGCATTGAGGGAAGGAACAGAGGAAATCAGAGTTAGTTGGCAGCACTGCAGAAAAACACATTGAGAGCTGCTTCATACGATTACCCCTGAACCACAGAGGTACAGCATGCAGGGATTGCCCTTTCCCCAGTCCTTGGTCCACGTGTGCCAAGGTCTTGGCTCCCAGCCCTCAGCATTGCTTAAAATAGGCTCTGTTTTAAGAAGCAGAAAACCAGGGCAGGGCTGAAGATTGCACAGCAACCATCTTCACCTCTCCCTGTGTATAGGGCAGGGTTCCCTTGATTAAACTTCATGAGTGAGGTCGCCAGAAGGAGAAACTCTCTTTGAGACTCAATGGGAATTAGGTGACCAATTCTGGTTCCTTCAGGAAGCATGAGGATGTGGTGGACTAGCTCCTGCTGAGGATTGGTTGGTTGTGCCCCTCTGCCCTCTAAGTGCAGATGTCTTCTAGCTCGTGGTGGGCAGTGCCACTGTTAATAGCAGCAGTGGGAGACTGGCAGGGACTTTCTGCTCCTGAAGACACCAAAGCTGCCTGGACAAACCCTCCCTCCTTGTCCCTCCCATGCCAGGGTACAGGGCTGATGTTCCTCTCCAGATTCTCCCCCTGGGTGCTGTTTGCTCTCACCTGTCAATGCTGATGGCACAGAGGTTTAAAATGCTGGCTGTGCACATCATCACATCCATGGTGACGAAGATATCGCAACAGACTCGACTGAAAGTCCAGACTCCTCCCGTCACCTGCACCAGCAACCACAAAACTGTCAGCCTTCTTCTGCACCAAACCCTGGCCAGTCACATACAAGGAGGTGTTCTCCTCCAAATATCTCAACAACTGGATAAGCTCAAGTCCATTGTGATGTGCTAGAGGGAAACTGAGGCACCGTATCGTGTGCAAGGGCCACGGAGAAGGGGCCACACCTTGGGTTTCAAGGACTAAAGGATGGAAATTTTGCACTTTTTCCTCTGGAAAATTGCACTTTTCCAGAGGGGGGCATGGTGAAGAAATAGCAGCTCTTCTGTCCCTTGAAGCCTAGCGTGGTAAATTGATTTGAATTTGATATCCCTGGATATATCCTTTGATTAAGGATTATCTGAGAAAATCTAAGGGCTGAAAGCGTTTCTCAGCTTAGCTGCTGGAATTCTCTTGCAGGCAGTGAGCTGGAAAAGTGCTGCAAATTTTATGCATTTATGTATGAAGCAGAGACCTGAGACCCGAGGCTTCTCTAAAACCTTGTTTGGATTCTGATTTCAGTTACAGATTCTGATCACTAGACCTGAGTGAGTGGCCTCTCTGCTTCCATCTCCACTGCATCTGGAGTGCTGCATCGAGTTTTGGTGCCCCAGCAGAGGAAAAATATTGATAAATGGGAGCAAGTCCAGCAGAGGGCCACCAAGACAGTCCCTGGGGGCTGGAACACTTGTCCTGGGAGGAGCAGCTTTGGGAATAAAGTTTGTTCAGCTTGGAGAAGAGGTGGCTTTGAGGGGGACCTAGCTGCAGTCCCTAGTGCCACTAGTCCACTAGTGCCTAGTGGGAGGTTATGAAGAAAGTTGGAGCCATGTTCCTAAGAAGATAAAGTCATTTTTTTTGCAGCAGCAGTGTGTGGTGGGAGGATGAAAGACAACAGGCATTTGAAGATAAACTTTCTGACCATGAGGACAGTGAAGCAGTGGTGCCAGTTGCTTGATAAGTCTTTGCAGGCTCCATCCTTGGAGCTTTTCAAGACCCACTCCGAACCACCTGCAGTCCCCTAGTGCCTAGTGGGAGGTTATCAAGAAAATAAAGCCATTTTTTTTGCAGCAGTGTGTGTTGGGAGGATGAAAGACAACAGGCATATGTTAAAAGAAGAAGGGTGCACACTGGTTATGAAGATAAACTTTCTGACCATGAGGACAGTGAAGCAGTGGTGCCAGTTGCTTGATAAGTCTGTGCAGGCTCCATCCTTGGAGCTTTTCAAGACCCACTCCGAACCACCCGTGCCAGATCAGGCTGGAGAGGATGCCACAAAGAACCTTGTCTTCTAAGACAGGGGGTCAACCCTGCAGCAAGTGTCCGTGCCCAGGAAGGACACAGCTCCCTGCAGCAAGACACAATTCCCCCTGTGTGAGTTGTTTCAGCAATAACCCTGAGGAATTGAGATGGGTTTGACTGTGCCAGTGTTCCCACACGTGGGCACAGAAACTCACTGAGGTGAGATGTGTCTTTAGGGTGTTCTCTGCTGGACCCAGCTGCTGGGTGTCAGAAGTCAGGTACTGAAGGAAGCTGTCTCCTCTTAGGTGTCCTGACTCTGAATAAAAGCATGGGACAGAAAGGGGAATAGGCTTCCAAAATGCACTAGTGACCTGTGCTTTCACCTGCACTTCTCTGATACCTGGGGGACTCTGTTTTGTTTTAAAAAAAAAGCAAGCAAAGGAAAACCAAACCCCAACCAAACCCTGAGAGCTTTTCTGCACAATTAGGTGGCCTACAAGACACTCAAACTGAAGGCTGTGACCCTGAAATTTGGGACTTTAATAGGTAAATTGTTTTCAAAGAGTTTCCACACCGTTTTTGCTTTAGCTGCAGATTTTGAGATCTGCTCGACCACCTCAAAACATTTTAAAAATGTATAAATGCTAGAAACCTTTGGAGTTAGGACCCAGAAAGAGGTGTTGCTGTCTTCTGAGGCAAAATGCAATGCAGAGTCTGGGTGATCTGTGGAGCCTGGAGAATATTTCACCAGGAGCTGGTGCCAGATGTTCACATAAAAGCCAGCTGCTGCTAGCCCAGCAGATGTGAAGCACTTCACTGAAGGAGTTTCCAAGGTCCTGAGTGCATTCAAATGCTAAGCCCAGGAATATGAACCATGAAAACTAAAGAAACTGGTGGTGGAATGAAGTGAACCCTCTCGGGATGACTCATTCAGATCACCCCACATGAATACTAAGTTGTAGCTTGTCTTAAGGTGATTCTTGACCTATCAAATATTTGGGCTTAAAACCTATTCTCACTTCCATCAGCTGCTGCTTCTAAAACGTGGAGCAGCTCTGCTGAAGTAGTTAATATTTACCAGGAGGATATGCAAACCTAGAATTTATTCCAGAGTTTAACAATGAAGCAAAGAGCCCTTTTAAAGAGGCCTCGTTCATAATTTTTCAAATCCTCTTTCTGCTCTCCCTTGTCTGGCTCTGCTCCTCTCCTCTTTGACACCACAGCTAGAACATGCTAGTGGCATTTCTGCTTCTCATGTGCTGGCAGGGTACCTGCCCTTTATCCCTCTGGTGCCTTTTGTCCAGGAATCTCAAAGCACATCACAGGTCTTAATTGAATGAGCCCTTCACATCTGCCTGGGTGAGGTGGATGGTGGGTGGTTGTTCTTTTACAGCTGATGAGAACAGACCAGAGAGATGAGTTGACACAATCTCTCATTACCACTCAGTGCCTGTGGAGCAGAAGTGGGAATAGAGTCCAGGATGAAATCCTGGCTCTGTCAAAGACAATGCTAAAGCTCCCTATGGACTATTCAGGTCAGATTCTCACCTCATCTTTCTTGATGACCAGTCTGCTTTACCCACAAAATTGCAATATTATTATTTTTAACTTTCCAGTCCTATGGAAAATCTTCTAGCTCTTTTTTTTCCCCATCATTATGCATCCATCTGAGCTCAAAGAGCAGTTGTAGGGCTCACAGCTCCTGGGTGAGAGCCACAGAAGAGGAGACAGGGTTATTCTCACATGCTCTGAACAGAGCTAGGACTGCACCTCAGTGAAAATCATCTCCTGAAGCTTTTTGCCCTTTGGAGGTAGAACTGGATGTTGTAAGAAGACTGAAAAGGATGCTCCAAGTGTCCTCCTCCTTTTATACAATGACAATAAGGCACAGTGGTATTTAATACAACCAAACTCCAGTGGGCAGGATACCATTGTCTTGGAAACCTTGGTGAGAGCTTCACTAGGTGCACCAGCCACAGCATCAGAGGTCAGTAAGGAACAGGAGTAGCAGTATTGCTATATTAGACCCACCCATTGACCCCAGAAGATTGCTAGATACAGTGCTGAGTAGCATTTTTGTGTCAGAAACTTAGGTGGAGATGAGGATTTTGAGGTGATAAAGTCTTCCTATTGTTGCTCTGCTTTGCCTCCCCAAAAGACCTCTCAAAAAAGAGGCAGTTCTGCTCTGTGTGACTGATAAAATGAAAAATTTCATGGAGAAGATCCACCAGGCCACAGATGGCACTAAAAATCAAATGTAAGGCACAAAGTTAATAAGTGACATTTAAATCTGAGCTATTCATCCACCTTTACCTTCTCCATCAGTAATGGGCAGGTCTCAGGTGTCTGGTTTGGCCAACACTCAGGAGATGAATGGGTGCTGTACACAGTTTTGGGGACTGCATGATTTCTTGGCCATTTCCAGCCCTTTAGTGTCCTGAAGCAGGATGTTGTTCCTGCTTCATTGGTAGCATCACTGGCCCATCAACAGCAGCAAATACTTCAACGACTTTGGGCCTTTTTGGACTGCTTTTAGGACTTTTGCTGAAGTCCTACAGCCTAGTTCTCTAGGAGATACTGCTCAATGCCAGGAGTGGTAGTTTGGATTTGGAGTGTGGGTGGGTTCTTCTCCCTGTTTTTTTTTTAGTTGAAATCAAATGGCAGAGTCTAATTCTGTCTTGCTGGGATGGTTTCCCCCCCAACACACTTATTCCTTGCTTTTTCATCACTCAGTGTCACACAGCTCAGCTGTACACATCCTGCAGGCCAGCTCCAGGACCTCTCCACCCAGATCCATCCAAATGTTGCTACTCATTTTGCTAGACAGACACTTACACATCCAGTATCATGGTGCTCTCTTTGTACTTTCACTCCACAGCAGTGCTATAAATAAATGATTAACCATCAATGCCCTTGTTAATAATGCTTCTACACAGAGCAAACCCTTAATTTCTCTTAATTACTTTGAGACTGGGCACCCTTTGGGAGGGTGGCTAGTGCTGACACGAGGGAAGTGCCTAGGCTGGGTGCCAAAGCTTAGAGCTGTGCTGTGTATTCAACAAATTCTGGAGGCAGAGGAGGGCTGCAGGACACTGCCAGTCCCCTGCCACTGGATCAAGTCTCCTCATACCCACGTTGCAGGTCTGGCATTTGCTGGAGTGGTGCTGTCTTGTCCTGCTTTCTGCTGTGCAGTCCATATACACAGGTCAAAGCTCTCTCTCTGCTTCTGCTTTGTTTTGGGGGAGAGAGGTTAGCCAAAGGTGGGCAGCTGCCAACAGAATATTCACCCTACCCTTCAGCCTGATCCTGGCTTGCCCCTTACAGAAAGAGCATGAGGCTTCAGCGAGATCCTGGCTCAGAGGCTTGTTCTGTCTCTGTTAGCATGAGAACAGGGCACTGGGGCTCAGCTGAAACCTTCCAGCTTAGAGGTGGACACTCTCAAGTTTCTAGACCTACCAGTCTCTGTGAATTATTGTAAAAACGTTGGAATGAAGAGATAAAACCCTCAGCTGCAGCATGGATCGAGTTTAATAAAAATATTTGCCCCAGAACTGGCTTCAGTACTGCAGGATTTTGCCACAGTGTGAGGGGATTTCATGGCCATCTTTGCTGCCCTGTATCTGATGGTGTGGCTCCTACTGCACGGTCATGCCAGTGCAGTTTTACACTGGCCCATGTGCAAAGATCAGGAAAATGGAGAATAAGACCCTGAGGGCTGGATGAGTCCTTTGAAGTTATTATGAAAATGCTTTCGTGACTTAAAGAGATTTTGGAGCATGTTCTTCAGCTTCATCTCTTCATCAGCCTGCTTGGGGAATGTTGCTTAAAGCTGACTTAACATCATGGACATTAAGGCTGTTAAACTCTGCAGGAGGAAAGGATTTGACTGCTCTCACTTGTTTTCTGGCCAGCAGGAGCAGGGGTTGATCTGGGCTCTGAGTTCCCATGAGGTATTTCCACCGCATTGCCTCCTCCACCATCCCTGAATCATCGTGGTGCTGACCCTTCTGGCTGATGGAGTGAGCCCATCAGGACCCACCACCTACACCACTGGCTGTAGCCCAGCTGCCATTCAAGCTCAAAGAGGATGTGCTATGCCAGGAAGAGCAAGGCTTAGAGTGTCTGCTGATCAGTGGGACCATTTGTCCAGGATGCATCCAGCCTATGAGGGCCACCAGTGTGACATTGTGGGTTGCCACCTACCCTACAAGTACCCCAGAGCTAGCTGGAGGGTTAAAATGTGAATGGACTTGAATCCTGAGAGCATGCACTGATGCTGATGAGCTCTATCATGGCCCAGCTCTGCTAATCTCTCCTCAGACGTACTCACCTCCAGGTACACCACCCAGGGCATCACCAAAGTAGCCAGCAGCAGATCTGCCACCGCCAGGCTCACCACCAGGTAGTTTGTTGTGGTTTGCAAGGTGCGTTCCCTCAGCACAGCTAAGCAGACCAGCACGTTCCCAAAGATGATGGCCAAAATCAAGATGCAGTAGCAGAGGGCGTAGTAGGTGTGTGAGGGTGGCAGGTCAGTCTCCGTAGCGTTGTCTGCCCCACAGGGGATGGGGCTGGTGGTGTTATGATGGCTGCTGGTTCTTGAGAAGAGGGCCATGGGCTCCTGCAGAGAGAAAGAGATGACTGAACATCAGAGCTCTGCAATCATCGTGGAGAGCAGTACCTTTTGTGGACACTGTAATTTTTGTATTCCTTCATGAATGCTACTTCAAGCCCATTATAGCAGTCTTTTATATATAAAAGACTCATAAAAAAAAGAGCATCTGCTCATCTATAAAGGCAGAACACTGCTTAAAGTCTTGCTTGACCTGTTTTGGTTTTCATTGAATCTAAGCCAAGAGAAGAAGGCAGGATTTCACCTCCTGTGTGCATCTGAAAGGTGAATCTTACCCACCATTGCAGCTCTGAGGGAAGTGGAAATGGTTTTAGGATGCACCAAGGTCATGCCACAGTAAAAGTCAGCTGGGCAAGAGCACAGATGATTGAAGAAAACAGTTTGTAGTGCTGAGGAAGACCCAGCTAGGGTTCCAGTCACCCAAACTAAGGCTTGGCCAGAAGCATGGACCTAGTGTTTTTCCTTCTGGGAAGTGCCCTCAGCCTTCTTGTGTCAAAAACATCCTCAAGAACTTCACGTGCTCAGCAGCCTCACAGAGAGACTGCACCTGGAAGGCTCAAGTAGTCTCTTGAACCCTGGCTGCCTGGCAGGAAGCACCATCCACTGGATTACTCCTTTCCTGCAACGTGTTTCTGTCCCAGGCATTCTCTCCCAAGAGTGCTCTGCCTGCCTGGCCAGAGCTTGTCTGTCAGCACTGCCCCCACCTCATCCATCCCATGCTCTGTGTTCTCAGGCCAGGAAATAATGGAAGGATGCTTGCAAGGTACTCTGCATTTCTTCTTCTTATAATGTATTGGTGACTGTGCCCAGGAACCTACCCTTTCTTGATTTAGGAGGATGGGTTTTTTTTCCAGGAATGTGACAGTTGCTGTCCCAGGGTTGTTCTGTGACATTTAATTGCTGGTATCTGATTTTTTTTTTTCTTCTCTGCTACTGCTCCCATTACTGAACTCATCAGCAGCACGACAGGTAAGAAAGGCAAGGAAAAAATGTTGCAATGCCAATGGTATAAATATTATTCTTCCTTCCACCTCAGCCCCTGAACAGCAGCATCCCTGATGCAGATGCTCCTGGAAGAGAAGCTGTGCAATAAATTGCTCCAGCCCCTTGGCACACATTCGTCCTTAAAACTGGTGTCACTTGCCCCTGATGCTTTGTAGTTGGGACAGAACAAGGGCTGAATGAGATGGAAACTGAACTTCCCTCTGTCCCATGAATGCAGATCCCTCAGGACAGGGGTGAAACGATCCCTTAGGGCACGTGTTGGGTTTGAACGTGCCTGTGCTTGGCTCTCCTCTTTCTTCCACCTCTCCCCAACAAAGCAGGTAGGATTTCCCATAGCATGAGTGCTGCTGCTGAGCCCAGGACTGTTTGTTCATCACAGTCCAGCTTCACCCAAAGATGGGACTTATTCTGCAGTGGGAAATCTGCACTGTCTGGGGCCTCGACAGGCTGCTGCTGGAGCACTGGGAAAATAACACATGAAGCAGCGACCTAGCTGATAAGGAATGCCACGAGCAGGAAGGGACAAAACATCATGCACGATGTACCTGAAGGCTTAAGGTGCCTCCTTACACGGTTTGCCTGCAGGTCTCCTGCCCCTTACCCACAGCACTAATCCCAAAAGGCAAATCTTCCCTACCAGGATCCCTCCCATCTCCCCATGCCAGCCCTGCCAGGGCCCCCAGCCCCCCCGGGCCAGGGTGCCGGTGGGTACCGGGGTACCCCGACCGGGATGTGCCGGGGTACGGGGACACCCAGCACCCGGGGCACCGGGCAGCGGGAC